GGATTTATCTTTATCAGTAAATGATATGAGAGAAAGAAAAATGGCTGAAGAATCTATTAGTGGTAATCCAGAAGAAGATGAAATTAAAACAGAAGATAGTACCTTAGAAGTACAAATTTTTAATTTAAATTTATGTTTTTTCTTAAATTTTTTAATTTTAATTTATATATTTAAGGAGCAAGAAGATAGTACACCACCTCTCATTGCTGGCACAGCAGATGATTCTGTATGTGTTAATCATTTAGTTTATAGAGTTGGCGATTTCGTTTATGCAGAACCCCAAGAACGAGGCCAAGAGTTAATGATATTAAATATTCAACGGCTATGGACCAATCAGGAATCACAACAAATGTTGTATGGAAATCATTTCTATAGACCAAGTGAAACATATCATTTGTCAACTCGAAAATTTTTAGAAAAGGTTTGTAGTTTTTTTTATCATAAATTATAGTTTTGATTATATTCAATTTATTTCAGGAAGTTTTTAAGACTGATTTAAATATTACTATACCAGTAAGTCGAATTAGAGGTCGCTGTGCTGTTGTAAGTGTTAAGGATTATTTCCGTTATCAACCAAAAGGATTTGATGAAAAAGATGTATATGTGTGTGAATCTAGATACTCTTCAAGATGTAGAAATTTCAAAAAAATCAAGGTAAGTACTGCTGTGAATGTAACAAATGAGTTAGTATATAATACAAATCTTTTAGAATTGGGCCTTAAGCTTATCAGCCACATGGAAATTAGCTGAAAGAGAAGAACCTTTGGACCCTAAAAGAGTGTTGTCTGTGTTCCGTGACCGYGTAGAAAAGCATAAAGAAGAAATTGCAGAACTTGAAGAGCATGAGAAAATAGTTGAAAAAGAAAAACCAGTTAGTATTTTTACTTTTAAAACATGTCACATAAGTTGCTGTGAATTTAATTTTGTTTTATCAAACAGAATGTAATAATACCAAATCCTCCTGGGGTTATTGATGATGGAAATGTTTATTATGAACAATACAACTGTCATGTAGGTATACTCAAACCAGGAGATTTTGTTTACGTCAAAAGTGATCAAAATCAGATAGTCCAAGTAGATAAAATTTGGGTTAACAAGCAGTAAGTAATTCCTCTATTATGAAAAAGCTCCCAATGCCTAAATGTTGGTGTATGAAGTACCTCAAACCCATAAATTAATTAAAATAACTTATTGATGTGTTTTTAATATTTTAGAGGAGCGTATGTCTTTGGTCCTGTACTACTAACTCCTGTAGATCTTCCAAATTTTTCTGGTAGGCAGTTCTTTAAACAAGAAGTTCTGTTAACTACTACTGAGGAAACTGTATTAATATCAAAAATCACTGGAAAATGTTCTGTCTTAGAACATGCTGAATATATATCATGTAAATATTTTTCTTATTTCTTATTTTTTWAAATAATATACAATCTGTACAATTGCACAATAAGCATATATGATAAGGGCTATAAATAACATGAGTATTTGATAAGAAGCCTTGTGGCACTTGATTGGGCATGTAAATATAAAACATTTTTATTATGATTTTTTAAATATTATATTTATATTATAGGTCGTCCAGCAGAAATAGCTGAAGATGATGTTTATCTTTGTGAATCAATTTATGATGAATCTACTAAACAAATAAAAGAATTGCCAAAAGATGGCTTAAAGAAGTATACTCATTCTCCAGCTGTTAATCAAGATGAGTTTTATTTCTTCAGGAGACTCATTCATCCAGTAAAAGTAATATACCCGTAATACAACATTTATTAACTCTTAATAAATTAAATTATACACTAGGTTGGAGCTACTGAAAACAATACTCAATCTAATGATGTTAAAACTGTGTACAGCCAACATTATGATTCTGTATCTGTAAGTTTAATATAATGATTTATTTCTGTATTTCATTTAATAACATCTTTATTCTGATTACAGAACGTAAGTTCTCCAGCTATGCCAAAACTAGAACCGGCCGATACAATGACAGAAGATTCTATGGATGGAGGTCCACCATCAGTCAGCTCTTCTGACTTGGGTGAACGTACATTGAATACTTCAACAATTATGTCTACCCCATCATCATCTAGAAAAAAGAACCCCAATCATAAGAAGCTTGTCACTGGATATATATTGTACACAAKTGATGTTCGAAAAGCTATTGTACAAAATAATCCAGATCGTAGTTTTGGTGAAGTTAGTCGTATTGTCGGCAATGAAGTAAATGATATATAACATAATCCATCACGGAAAAATGATTAACTAATTCTCAATGATTTGAAATTACAGTGGCGTAATTTATCACAGACAGAAAAAATGGCATATGAAGAACGTGCTAATAGATTAAATGAAGAAAATTATCCACAATGGCGTCAACAGTCTCAYCAAGCACCACCTCATCCAGAAGGTTCTGATCTAATTTGGGAGTGTGGTTGGGACAATTGTGACTGGCAATTTGAAGATCAATCAGATTGTTTAGACCATGCTGTAGCTGATCAATATGGACATGTGCAGACATTCTTTTCAGCCATTCCTCCCAGTGGTATATATTATTTTCTTTATAAAATAATCTAAATTTTTTCCTTTTCTATAATATACAATTTTTTAACTTTACAAGAAATCGAATTTCAATGTCAGTGGAGAGGATGCCTTAGAGTTAAAAAGACTGGTATTGCTCCATTTCCAAGTTTACATCGTTTAGTTAGACATGTAAAAGAAGTTCATATACTTAAAAATCCTGGGAAACCTGTACCATTATCTGAACGCAATAAGTAAATATAATTTATATTTTATATGCTTAGGGTGATTATATAATATTACTTATGTACAATATGGTATTCATCAAGATTTTTTGAAAATACGAGATAGATTAATGAGCTTATTTTTGTTCTAAGTATATTTAATTCAGAATTTTTACAACTATATTTATGAGGTCATTATTTACTTTCAACAATCATACTTTAATTTCAGAAATTTAATGTCGAGCACTCGCTCAGTCATTACTTCCACTTCTGTTTTATCTGTGGCGTCTGTATCTCCACCACCAATTGAAAATTCTAATGGTCTGTTTTTTCTTCATATTATAGTTTAAATTTATTGAAGCATGGCCATTATAATTTTTATTAAATAATAATAATTTTTTAGTAGTAGAATGTTTTTCTGTTTTTTTTTTTTGATTTGGTTTTAATAGTTATTTAGTTACTCAAAAATATTTACAACTGACTTCAGAGATTAGAGATTAGATGCAAGATGCGCATTTTTTTTTTGTAAAACAAAAAAATAATTACATTAATGGTAAAAAGTATATTAAGTTTTCATTTTAAATTTTTGATATTAATTTTCATTTTATTCTACAGTTAGTATTTTTAAGTTTTTTTTTTATTAGTTAAAAAAATWAGTATTATGAGTTATTATCTTTTGTTGTATGTATATTAGAGCTCTACACATCTATAATATTTTTGCTTTAAGCCCTTACCTATTCTAAACAATATTTTACTAATGAAGCCTAAAAAATCATGATTGAATGTCAAGCCAAATACTTCATATTGTAATCTTTCTTAAAAATAATTTTTATTTTGTTTGATTATAATTTTAATTCACTAAAAGATATTGAAAAGTTTGGAATTCATTTTGAGGAATTTGTTTAGTTTTAGGTTTCTCCTCTCAAAATCATGAATATATTTTAATAATTTAAGTTAGGCTCTGTCCGTTTCTTCAGTTAACATTTATTGTTTGGTCTGGCCCATATAATCAACAAATGAATGCATCGCTGTCCCTGCCTAAAAGAGATCTAATGTATTATTATTATTTAGTACTTTGTGTTGATAATATGTTCATGGTAATTTATTTAATAGCACGACATTATTTTCTATGTAAATTATTATTATTTTGAAAAAAAGTGACTTGGATCAATGTCGTGTATTAAAAAAATCATCATGTATTAGCATGTTGTGAGTTGCTTTTTTAAGTTGAATTTAAACCGCTTTGTAGAAATGTTGTATTGTCAACACGTATGAAAAAAGAACAAATGACACAACCAATACCACAACAATTTGCAAATCAACCTGGTAAGTTTTTCGTATGATAYTAATATTTATAACTTTTTTAAAGTGACAGTTCATAACAAGAAAAAGGTAATAACTGTGAAGAACGAAAACCATTTATTTAACCATAATATAATTACATTTATTTATTTATAGTTGGAGGAGCTGTTAACGTTTTAAATCAGATAAATAGGAATACTCCATCACCTATGTCTCAAAATGGTAATTAGATTTTCAATAAATAAAGTACCTATATTAGTTGTTAATAAAATAAAAGAAATATATATATATATATAAATATATGTATTTTTTCAATTTTATAAAGTTAATATTAATGTATAATATATTATGGTAATATTGTTAATAATATAAACTCTAAATATCGTATTTTTATTAATTATGTAATAATTGCTGTAGGTTCAGCGAGTAATAATAGCATTACTATTAGCAAACATCCCGAACCACTGTTTGTAACTGTGCCACCAAGACCTACTAGAGTATTTCATTCTGAAGCTTATATCAAGTAATTAAAATATTCTTTATTTTTATATTTATTACTTGGATATTAAAAGTATTTATTTTTTTAGATACATAGAGAGTTTAAACCTGGAAAGCAAATCTAATTGGGAGCGTCAATTGATTGCTACACAAGAAAATACCAAAGGACCAGACGACCCAAATTCGCTACCTGCTATTCAATGGTTGGGAAAAGGAATTGGTAATCATGGAAATGTTTTAAATGCATTGTGGGCACTTAGAAATTTTATGATGAAAGATGCCATGGGTCTTTCAAAAACTGACGAATAAGTTACTGATTTTTTGTATAATTAATACTACTGACACTTTTTTGTGGTTTTGTCAAACTCACTTAGTTTTAGTAAGTTTTTTTTTTCATTAACATAAATTATTCATCAAGCAAAACGCTAGTTTTTTTACTATTATCTTAAAATATATAATTTACGATTTACCTACTATAGATATTTAATTATAAATAAATGATTTATATATATATGTGTGTTTTGTATTTAAAAATCTGTCACTCTTCCTTTTCGTTCCCAATCGCCATATCTGGTTGGTTCAGGTCCTTTTGGACCATTTTGCTCTCCTGTAGTAGGATTACGACCTTCAGGCCATTCTTTCAAAGGCTCTTTTTCTTGAAATGGATGTTTTCCAGCTTTGAGTTCATCTAATTTTCCTTTTGTAATAATATGTAATAGTTATCATCTTTATATTTAAACTAAATTACTATTGTACATTACCAATTGGTGTTTTCATTTTAATTTTTTCCTTTAAATCATCTTTGGAATCACTGTATTTGCATTTAGTTAACTGTATTGAACATTGTTTAATTGGCAACCTTACTGAAGATGTTTGTCGGAATATATGCATCGAATACATAGCACTTAATATTAAATTATTAAAGTAAAATGTAATTATTTTGTACACGAAAAAATAATGTTRGTTTTAATGTAATAGTAAAGTTTTCAATGTTGAAATTATTATAGTTACACTTTTTTCAATCTAAATTTATTGGTCACTGAWCATTTATCACAATTTTCAAGTTACTATCATAGACCTTATAAGGTTGCTATCTTAGATGTTGAGCCACGARTGTATWATTATTTATTACGTTCTATATTATATAGACTAGAACACAACATGTATTATGCAAGCWAAGTGCTCTAGATAATATTATTTTCAATTTCATTCACGGCCTATATTGGATCACAGTGCTGAACGGCGCCGAATGTTATTATCAAATCTGACAAAGTCATGTATTGGCGTATTGCTATTTGCTAGCGGCCTCTACAGTTTATAGAACTCTTACAATATGTTACCATAACCATAATCAATGCCACAACTAATATTAACAATCACACAATAATAAATAAATAAATATAATTCTTTAATTTATTCTCAAATATGATAATTATTACACGGAATCTTAAAAAAACAAGGGATTTTTAAACATCGATGTTGTATACACTATATTATAATGTGACAAACAGACACGAACTAAGATTAGTCCGTGGTGCAAACAGACAATCCGAATTTCTCCGTTATCACTGATAATTGACAACTTATCAGACGTTTGCAACGTTTTCTGCTATGGAATTTCATGGTTTCCTCCAAGTCTACAACCACGACAAACAGACAAAATAAATACTTTGTCAAGTTTATAATTGCAATTTAGTGTCTACAACTTACTGTCTACTAAATGTCTAAGTACTAGTAGYCCTACTTGCCACTTGGCTATTTGTGTGGTAATCTACCACTTTACTGGACTGGTGTGTCGGTAAGTGAACTTACAACTGTGAAGTGAAGTTCTCGGGATGTATGTTGGATATCATTGTGATTCAGACCATAATATGAACGAAATGTATTATTATATAACAAATATTTTCACATAACCTTTGGTTGTGATGTCATTAATTTAATTATTGTATTTTCGAGTTTGTTGAGTGTTTAAACTACCCTTCCTAGTCTCTTTAATATCTCATTTTTGACAGGTGACATTAGGAAATGTGTAGTTTTTAACCATTACTGTATTACCTGACAGWTCTTATTCGTTAATTATTGTTCTGATTCAAAATATATATTAATAACTTTTGTACAATGGACCAAGAAAATCAGAATGTTATTTATATTGAAAACTGGAATGATCTTTGTCGATTGTGTCTCCGAAATGAACAAAAATTGCAAAATTTATTTTTTGAAGAAACCCTTTTAGAAAATGTTCAAGAAGTTACTAATCTTCATGTAAGTTAATATTGTAATTTACTCTAATGTTTTGTTTTAATTAAAAATATTTAATTTTTAATAGTTCAATGTCGAGGATTCTTTACCTAATTCTATATGCAAAATATGTATAGACCAAGTTAATTCATTTGTTGAATTTCGAGTACGATGTAAAGCTACAGACGAATGGTTACGAAATGAAGGTGCAATTTCGGATAATGATCATAAGGTATATATTTTATTTAGTTACCAAATAGTGTTTAGTTTTATGTCCATCAAAATATTGATAAATTAGAGTGATTAACTATAATGAAGAATTGCCTACCGTCGTTCCAGGTTCCAGAATAATTTTACTTAACTGTAATTATTATTTAATGATTATTGGTATGCGTGTATGTTCCAGGATAATATTGAAATTGTAGAAGTAGTGGACATCTGGAACGACGGTACTTCATTGGAAAAGAATGAAAGCATAATTTCCCAATTATGTATAGAAAATACTGATGATAAATTTTGTTTGTGTGAAGATTGTGGAGAATGCTTTGAAACAACTAAACAACTCTCATTACATACTAAAACACATTCTTCTGACCATATTAAATGCAACTTATGTAATGTAGTTATAGATAATTATAGTAAATTTGATGATTCATTATTAAAAGATGAAATCAACCTATGCAAAAAATGCAAAAATTTGAATAATATTGACAATTTAGAAGTGAAAAATTCTTACACAGAAATTGAAGGTGGTTTTTTATGTGAAAAATGTCAAAAAGTTTTCAAAACATTGGCTGGTATGTTATCACATTTAAGGAATTATGAAAAAAAATTAGAAATTGGTTCTTTGTCTTATCAGTGTCATTTTTGTGAGGAAGTATTTGCAACTATTCAGCAAGTTTGGATACATATGAAGACTCATGCACCTGGTGAGAAAATAAAATGTCGTCATTGTGAAAAATGTTTCAAATCATATCTGACACTTGTACGTCATGAAAACAAACATGAAGGTACCTTTAATTATGTTTGTTCATATTGTGGAAGAGCTTTTGTTACACCATATGGTCGAGATAGACATGAAATGACCCATAATGCGGCCAAAGACGTGCAATGTGAAAAATGCACAATGACATTTTATACCAGAGCTGAATATAACAGACATATGAGATATCATGATAATGTTAGAAATTTTTTGTGTTCGTTTTGTGGTAAACGATTTTTTGAAAGTGCCCATAAAACAATTCATGAACGTGCCCATACTGGAGAAAGACCATTTGCCTGTAATTTTTGTGGAAAGAAATTCATGTCTAAACAAAAAGCACGCCGACATCAAGCTATTCACTCAAAACATAATAATAAAAAATAAATATATTGAATACTTTATTTATAACTTTAATTCTTTATAACATAAACGTTCCTATAATATAATTTTTTATTTTACCAAGTATTACTTTTTATCTCTGTTTTGTATTATTTGTATTTGTATTATTATTCTGAATTTATATTCAGTTATAATCCTGGTTACATTTACTCAAGAGAATGCTACAATCCATGTGTGTTATTTTTGTCTTACAAATGTGCAACATAGCAAAACTGCTTAGCGAAGGACAACTATACTCTCTGTAATTATAGTATAATTAGTAACTACCAAAGTTACACAAATCGTAGGGAATAAGTTTGTCTGTGTCGTACCTTTTTTATTATTTGGATAACATAAATTCTTGTTTTTATTTTTTATTCTATATAAATACAATTAAAGTTATCAGATTGAGAACATTCAATTTTTTTTTCATTTCATTATTAAAAAGTTATTAAGTAATAATAAGTCAATCATAATTTTCTCTATGGTACTGACAAAGTTCTTCCCTATACATTTTGAAATTTTAGTAACTATTCCTTAAATACAGAGGAAGTGTATTGTACTGCGCAAAATAGCTTTTACTGTGTTGTTCATTTATAAGACAGAGAGAACACTTATGGGTGTAGTGTCCTCTTAATATTTAATAATGCTACTTTTCATATTCTTATCTATATTTTATTATGATTCTAAATATATATACTGTTAAAACTATAGTATATTGATAATGTTGTTTTAAACATTTTGTATGAATTAATTATTCTGTAATTTATCAATAAAATAAGATGTAAAGTTTATCTGTATAAGCTTCTTTAAGAAATATAATTTCAATGTTATCAAAATAATCTTTTTATTGCTTAAATATTAATTGATTAAAAAATATTTTTATTTACACTTTAGGATTCAATAATAATTGATTCGGAAGAAATAAATAATAAAGATTTATTATTAGTTGATCAAAATCAATATGAAGAGCAGTTAATAGATGATCCAGAACCTGTGAATGATAAGCAATTAGTTGAAAATGAAATTGAGTTATCACATTGTATCATTCAAACTGAAGAGGAAATGCAAATATCTTCTAAAGAAGAAACATTGGAAACTAATTCTAGTGAACATCAATGTGGAATTTGTGGTAAAGAATTGTTGTCTGCATATACACTTGCAAACCACATGCGTTCTCACACAGGAGAGCGTCCTTATGGATGCAGTGTATGTGAAAAATTCTTCAAGACTAAATCTAATTTGAATGAACACTACCGGTTAGTTGTACTATTATTTTATATTATTTACATACATAAACCTGCTCATGGGGTAATCAGGCTAGGCTGACTGACACAGGCTAGGTGGTTACATAATACATAATTAAAATACAGAATTTGTGTTGAACTTATTAACCATCACATAGTCAGACAATCCCAGTATCCTACAAGACGCAGCCATATTATATTCAAGAAGAGGTCTTGCTAAATAATAGTAGATAATKTTTAGTGGATCATAAAGTTTGAATTTGCTGTCAACTATTTAAATGTATTTGTATATGATATACAATTGTTTCAATCGATGATAGGAATCCCGTCTATTGAGTAAGTACGGAATGAATTGTATTTAATAGACCAGACAAGAAGAAATCCATGTGTGACACTTTATGACTCGCAGATATTCCCAATTTTTTTTAAATTTATAAACATGAACAATTTATTTATAATTAATTATCGTCTGATAAAAAGAGAAGAAACACAACCCTTAAATTAGATGTCCTTAGATTTTGGTGGACCAGGAATAGCATATAAATGTATATTATTTAGACAATATTGTCATCTAATAATATTGGTTAGTATAGCTATATATAATATATAGAAACATATCATTTGAATAATGCTTCACGGCTTCACATATTTCCTATATTTAGAGTTAGGTTGATCTATAAGTAATACATTTGATACCGATTACCAATGGCAAGGGGTCGTACCTAGAGGGAGTCAAGAGTTCAATCCTCCACCTCTGAAATTTTCTTTTAGAATTGGAATATTTATGAGGGGAGACAACAGAGGCATTTTTTCTCCCCTCTAAGACATAAATTCATAATATACAATATTATACATACTAATAATAAGTTAAATTATCATATTTTAATATAATATATAATTTTTTTGTATAATATATTATATTGTTAAAATCTTCCATTTATAACCTTTTATTAATCCTTAAGTTCTTGACACTCTTTATAAAATATAGTTTTCGAATCGCTGTTTTTTTTTTTTTAAATCATAACGGATCCCAAGAGACAAGATTGAACTGGACGTCGTTCTCGTATGCGTCGGGTAGTCTCCATCTGACAAATGCATAACATAAAAAACCTTAATAGGACTCCACACCCTCATGTGTTGTCTCCGTTTTACAAGTGCTTAACATAGCAAATTGTATGCTTAACAGTTCACGTTTAAAATTTTGAGTGAATTGACCTCTTGTAAAAATTAAAGGTACATTATTATCTAGGTTATTACATGTTTTTTAAAATTATATTTCAACTTTAAAGCGAGTTATGAGTATTTTAAGATATACAAACAATTTGCTATTTCAAAAATACTCATTACTAACCTTAAAATTAAAATATAATAAAAAGCCCACGTGATAACCTAGATAATAATGTTATATTTAATTTTTATAAGAGATTAGGTCACTGTTTTTTTAACTAACGGAACTGAACGTGAACTGCTGACCATACTATCTCCCATGTTACGCACTCATAACTTGTAAGACGGAGACAAGTCATGCGGGTGTGACGTCTTTTAAAGTGTTTCTACGTCGATAATACTTCTTTTTACTCTTTGCTTTATTAATCTTAGACTTCTTAGAATAATAATTTGACTATTATTTAAGCTTTTTGGGATGTTTAAATTTTAAAACAAGTTTAATACCCTTAACTTGCAAATMATTTTTGCGTAATATATTATACCTAGTACCTATACTCACAATATTAAAAGTAACTACTATAGAGAAACTGAGTCATGCCTTTTCACCCCTCCCCCCCCCCATACAAATGGTTCTAGAGACGCCCCTATTGTTGATACCAGAGCGAACGCAGACTAATGTCTGTACCTATTTGTTATGCGACTATATACATTGTACACATAGATACCTATAATAGGTATGTATATATTACGCCTAAATAAAAAGAAAATATAAAATCCTTATTTTTCGCGTTTCAAATTTTATCATCATTTATTTCTCGTAGAGTTCACAATCCGGAACTGCGTTGGATGAAGACATCAAGCCGGGACATTCCATCTATAACCCGAGTGACGGTCACGTCCGAAGACATACTGACGTGTGGTCAATGTGCCAAGGTTTTCGTGTCGCTGGATGAGTTGTCCGCTCACGAACGCGTCCACGATGAGCAACAAGAACAGCGATCGCAGACGGTCGAAACGACGGCGTCTGCGATGACGTCGACGTTCACGTGTGAACAGTGCAACAAAATGTTTACGTCGAAATCGCAACTGTCCGCGCACATAGGTAACAACTGTTCCGACGGTGCGGACCGGCAGTGTCCATACTGCGGCAAGCAGTTCCGGTCGATGGCCACGCTTGAGAACCACAAGCGGGTTCACACCAGGGAAAAACCGTTTGCGTGCGATTTGTGCACCAAGACGTTCAGGACTAAGGGCAATCTGATTGAGCACAAACGCGTGCACAACAACAGTGTGTGGGTAATGAAGGGCAACGCGAAGATCACGACTGACGCCGGCGGGAGCGGCGGTGACCAGCGGTTCCAGTGCACGTACTGTACGAAACCGTTTCGGACGTACACTGCACTGTTGAACCACGAACGCGTGCACACCCGCGAAAAGCCGTTCGAGTGTTCCGTGTGCAGCAAATGTTTCCGCACCAAGTCCAACCTGACGGAGCACATGAAGGGCTGTCACGACATTGATTCGTCCGCCTGTGGCTCGGACGAAGTGCAAGTGTTCACGTTCAAGACCCATTCGATAGTGACCGCCGGCGCCGAGTTGGAGTCCGCATGACGACCGAAACTGGCTCTTCACGGTTGCGAAGAACCATTATTGTGACGATGATTTTATTTGTCATTCGTTCATATTATTTATTTATTATACTATGTACAATTACCATAGGACATCATTTCTACAAGCATTTATATACGTAACCATAATTGTGTTATCTCGGTATATATTTAATAATATAGTTACATGAAAAACAGTACAATATAATTTACATTTTATTCTTTTGAAAATACATATTTACAAGATATATTATATATGTATACAATAATATATATAATATTAATTCGACGTTTATTGTTTAATCAAATTTGCGGCGATTATAATAACTATATATATTAATATAATAATATAATGTATTTAAATTTTCGTTTAGCTATGATAGTGTTATAATGATAATAATAATAATAATAATAATAATAATAATGATAATAATAATGATATTACTAATATTATGTTAATAAGTGTTAATTATAATTACATATTATAAATATTTAAATATGTACCTCATCCTATTTGTCTAACATCGTTCGTGTTGGTAGGTACGTGGTACGTCTAATGTGTTATATAAATCATAATATTACTCAGTAATTATACCAAGTAATAATATATTACAATACGTAACTAATACGATAATTTTATCGGTTCGTCGAGAATTGCGTCCACAGCTTCCACATACACGCCCGAAACGTTGACATAATTATTGATATTAATCGTGTACGCGTGTCTGATAACCTAATTATTGTCGTTGTTGTTATATTTTGACAAGCTGATGTCACTGCAAGCGTGGCCAGTATTGCGATGACAGGTCGGCCGTGTGTCCAGGTACGGCGATAGGCACCGAAACTCCGGGCGATATGAGACCTGCAGAACAAAGAAAATAATAATTAATTATTTATATATTTATATATTTATTTATATTATTTGAAGTTAGACAGATCACGTGATATGAAACGATATTACAATACAGTTAGATAACTATATACGTATAGGTACTTAAAATAAAAAATATTTTATTCACAACATGATTGTGACTATAGCATTGACGTGATAGGACTGACGGTTATAATATTGTGAATTATTATTCGATAAAAATGTGTATACATTTTAATATTACATTAATCTAAGAAAACCAAGTCCATTTATTCGTTATAGTTTACATTGTCATTAAATATTTGTGCTGCACTCCTAAGAAAAACAAATATAATGTTATTACATAATATATTTAATGTGTATCGATTTCCAATATTATACGTGTTATGTGCATTACCTATAATACGAGTTAATTGTTTCAGTATGACTATACGAAATAGTGACAATACTCGATGCTCATATTGTGTGTGAATTTAAGGGAGCTGGAATAATGCATGGTACACAAATCAGTGGGGGCTTTGCCTCCCCCTAATTTTTAATTTTCATACAAATATAATAACTCAAAATTTTAATTAATTATACTTAAATACTTGAATAGACAAATTAATTCCTAACTAATGGCGATTCTCTTTATTGATATAAACTATTGATAAACTATACAGTACATAATATAATGTATTGTGTATTCAAAATATTTAAAAATAACTAGCTATTTTTATTTTATTTTAGAACCTTCAGCAATGATACTATTACAGTTCGACAATTAAAACAGAACGATAAATACAATTTGTGTGTACAGTTTAAAAGACAACATTGGTACAAATATAATGGTTATAGTGAATATAATCATAATAGTGAGAAATAAAGATAAAAACATAATGAGGTGTATATTGTTGACCTTGATGGAATTAATATTAAGCAACTTTTGTTAGAAGTGAATTGAGGACTGGATTGGAAATAAAGTTGGACAGAATGGTGGAGATGGATGGTGATGTACCSATATTGTTGGGATTTTTCGTTACTTCCGCGTAGTTTTTCCGTTTGATGGGAGGAGGTTCGATTGGAATGTTGGCCGCCGGGGGGAACGGTGGACTATTATTAACTGCCTTGTTGGTTATCGGTGCAGAACGACTCTTAAATAAAATAAGATTTTTCTTGTTCCTTGAGGGCTGGGCAGCCTCTATAGTTGGCGGTATGAGCGCCGGAACAAAGTATACGCATTTGGCAGGTGTGTCACGAGGTTTGGTGCAGTCACCAGTGAAGTGATTTTCACTGCATTTGACGCAACGAGTTTGATTATGGTACCAGTTACGGGTATGTCCGTATAATTGACAACTTTTGCATTGGGGTCATTGGGGAGATTGACGAGTTTTCCTAGGCTTTTCGATTTTAACTATGGAGTTCAATAACTGATACTTGGAATATTTTTAGGTTATGTTCTTATGGATCGAGGTTGACTAGAAAAAGTGGCAGTGGAACATTWGTTTTTTTATTCTGAATAATGCTTATATTTAGAACAGAGAGCCCCAAATCGGTAGGTAAGGAATAACTAGCTATATTATAATATGTTATCACCAATTAAATTTTCGGTGATACTCGTTTGCGCACAGTACACAATTTTTTACCTGTAAACTGAAAACTCGTTTGCGTACATCGAAAAACGTGAAAACCCGGTTAATACTAATTTTGCCCTGAAAAATGACKACTCGTTTGCGTACAGCTATTAAATTCGACTTATATTATTACGCGTGAGCAAATTTCGATAAGATACAGGTAATTGATTAACTATAGTGTGCGGTTCTAAAGAAGCATTACATTAAAATTAATAAAATAGTAAATACAAACATAACATAGAAAAAGCATGACAAATTTATTTAAACTAAATTAACAAAAAAAAAGACATTTTTAATCACTCCAGTTATAAACAAACAGTCCTAAGCCTGTAAAAGTGAGAAGGAAAATGTTTGAAAACAATCTTAAACATTATTTTTGTTAAGAGTTTTAGTAAACTTTTGCTATACTTTATGTACGCAAACGAGCGCATGTAAACTCCGCCACAAGTACCTTTTTTTACTGTAAACTCCGCCAGAAAAAAAAAACAGGTAAAATTGGGTTCATGTAAACTCCGCCACTGAAAAAAATCAGGTAAAATTGAGTTCATGTAAACTCCGCCAGTGAAGAAAATCAAATAGTAGTATAAAATCAATATGATATAGATGTAAACGTATTTAATGTGAGAAGGCACGTGGCAATGCGAGAGCTGTCGCACTGACCAGGTAAAAAAAMAAAACTGGCGGAGTTTACATATACCCATTATAGGTAAGAAAAAAAAACTGGCGGAGTTTACCATAGACCTATTATTACCTTTTTATCTCGACCGATATTCTGGCGGAGTTTACAATCGCCCACGCAAACGAGTCCTACGTTTTGGGTCATTTATTACAGGTATTAAAAATTCGTGTGCGCAATCGAGTTATACATTTGTACGCAAAGGAGTCGCAAAAAAAGATAAATGTACGCAAACGGGTATCGCCCTTAATTTTTACAAATAGGTAACCTAACCGGTGTTTCCGAATTGCGGACAAAAACCGTAAAAACATGTGAGTTGCAGACGAAATCTAAAAAGGTAAYATACGAATTGCGGACACAAATATAAGATACTAATTGCGGACAAATTACCTATTATTATTTTTAAGTCACCCTAATATATATCAATTGATCGAGGCCCTAAATGAAGTACAGACTAGTAGCTWTACGAAAATGAATTGTTCTACAGTGCGAAATTGAAAACAAGCAAAAATAACTGTTGAAAAGGAGGCATTTATTAGCAATCAAATTTTGCAATATTCACCTGGTGAAATCAGTAGAATATCATATACACAGGCTGTTTCAAAAAAAWTTTTACCATAMGATCTATAAATACTATGACGATAATCTATTAGTATATTTTATAAACTATTTTTGCTACAAAATTAAAACATTAAATAAGAATATAATATAAATTGCTCTTATACAAGACACAAATACTTTTAACCCCACCTACCAACATTTTGGTAGCTTGTCCTAAGTCCTGAAAAAGTGGTGAAGGGAAATATTTGTGTCCGTAACTCACCTGATTTGAGAAATGTGTTTGAGAAAAAAGCTCTGTACGCAACTATAGTACTACGATAACGAAACTCGTGTCCGCAATTGTTATGTTACAATATTGACCTGAATAATTTCGTCCGCAACTAGTATGTGTCCGTATACACATATCCCTTTCGTCTATAAAGAAAAAGGGGGCATACCYCATTGCGCAATGGCCCCGTTACGGCTGGCTTTGAGAATAGACCAGTGGCGCCGATGTGTCTATTAGACACTTGTTATTACGGCATCAGGAATATGATATATTGTGCATCATATGAGTAGCTCTGGTAGGTGCGTGGATAATATGCAGGTAACGATTATCTTAACATAGCATCTTGGCCAGTGATACCGAAGTGTTAAAAATATACCATGACATCTAACATAAAGGGGCCTCCACCATCCTCTCGTTTTTTTTTTTAAATTTAACAATTATAGATGCAAATCTATAAGCACTAATCATATAATATAGATTGTTTAATAGTTTATTTTTACATTTTAGCTGAACAAATATTTACATAAATGATCTTAAACGGGTCTATATGAATATATTGATTTCAGATTTTACAATGATTGGGGATGCCATCCAAAAAACGTATCATGTACATATATTTATATTTTTCGCATACACACGTAGTTCGTATCCCGGTATCCGTTAAACCAGTGATGTATATTTTTGTGTAAAATTATAAAATGTAATAATAAATTTAATTAAAAGTTGGAAAGTGCAAAATATTCGAAAAGAGTCGTAGTAAAAAACAGAGTTGAGTTCGACAGTCCGTGAGAAAAAACGAATTTCGAATTCGTGAAAACTTTAGTTCRTTAATTAGTTATATAAAATTGTTAAGAAAACAATTATCATATTATAGGTAATGATGTATAACATTAAATGTGTACGTACCTGTGGAGTTTGAGCCGTTCATGTTGTATTGGTGGTGCGCGTGGTGGTGCGGATGGTGTCCGTTGATGGGCGGTGGATGGTGATGGTAAGCAGCGGCCGCGTGATGAGTCGGCGGACTACTGTTGTTGGACGTAGGTGACACGGGTGGCCTCAGGTAGCCGGGTGCGCCAATGGCCAGYGGTGGCGACGTGTCGTACGTCGGCCTCGACATGCAGCCGTACGCATCACGCTGGTCACCTCCGCCGCCGCCGGCCATGGCGTGGTGGCCGCCCATGATTGGCAGTGACAGACCGTTCTCGTTGTTGCCGCCGGGCATACCGAAATTCATCGTCATCGGACTATATATTGTAACATAGAACACGAGTGGGTCAAAATTAAGCAGAACACATAATAACATTAATAATATAAACACTACGATCTTATTATAATAACAACATGATTGGTTTAGACCAATGAGTTATAGGTACCTATTGCAATGCCGAAACATTCGGAAATATATATTATAGGGAGTGGTATTAGATTCTTTGGTGCATTTTTTATCGGGAATATATGTTGATTATTATTGTGTATAGGTAAGGGATTGACGTACCTATAACGTATCTAAAAATAAAAATAAAGGTACACTAATCCTATATATTATGTAAAACAGTACTTTTTTAAATAAATAATGAGTGTGTGATATATGCGAGAAAAAAATATTCGATAGAGCAAATATTATAGACTTATACCTATATATAGTCAACACAGAGATAGACATTTATTAAAAACCATTTGTTTTTTTATTCTATTTTTTGAGTAAGCAACGTTTTTCCAATCTATTCAATATTCATAATTATTCGGAAAAAAAATATTTAAATTAAAACTTGAAAGAAATTGTGATAAACATAGATTAATTTAATATCAAAAAAGATACTACGTAATATATATTATAGGGAATGACGACGATAATCATACATTTATACTCTTTACTCCAGCGATTCTCAACCTATTTTTTTATTTTTTTAGTTTATCAAAATTACGGTAATATAAGCATTTAAAGTACAAAAAGATAATTAAATTTGCACAAAATATGTAAAATTATATTTGACGTTAAATAAAGATCAATTTTATTTTATAAAGGGTGATGTTTTTAGTATGCCATGAGTTCTATGATTTTTACGCTACCACTGGTTAAGAAACGCCGATTAACGCGGTGCCAGCAAGTTTTAGACTGTCGTAAGTAAATATAGTAAGACAACACAAACATAATATTTAAACCTATGCATTTTTAACCATATCTTTTAATTCTCAATTTAATCTTTTAAATTTTTCATTAAAATGTATAATGTTTCTTTAAAAAAAAAACAAAGATTATGTTCGTTATAGTATACTGTGAAAACAGTAATAAAAACAAATAATAATTGAAAAACTATAACGGCCAACCGGGTATTTTAAACCTAAAACAACGAGATATCTATTAAAAGCTAWTTTTTCTAGATTACTTAAAGTTCGAGTTAAAACAACATAAAACATTTTAATTTTAAGTTATTCGTTGTAAGATGGCACACACCAGAAGATTTTAAGATTCAAAATTGTTAAAGTTAGTTTTAACTCGTATATAATCAATTCCTATTTTTTTTTATACTCAATTTTATCTTTGAAAAATAAAATAAAAATATATACAGTATACACTAAGCGTAAGCCACTGGTAAATTCTAAAATTATGTACAGGTTTAAATCGGAACAAAAGCGACGTTAATATTATGATATTATTTGCAAAACAAAATTTTGAAAATGTATTAACAAACACAATTATTTAGGCACCTATGCTGCCAATATACATATAATATTTTTGTATGTACCTGAACGTGTCGTGGTTGCCGATAGTTGTGTACATATTTGGATTGGTATCTGGATTGTTTGCAAAACCATTCATCCTATTTGGAGATGTTTGTTGTTGTTGCTGCTGTTGCTGTTGCTGCTGCTGTTGTTGATTTTGCGGGTCCATCGATTGATTTTGATTAGAGTTTGGACGCCGTTGGGTGCGAAGTTTTTCTTCTCGTCGCCACTTAGCCCGGCGGTTCGAAAACCATACCTATTCAAATTATAAACCGATACAGCTATTAAATTAAACATGTAGTGACTGGCAAAATACGCGTGAGGGGWAATTTCCTCTCATCGTATTCCTTCATTTTCTTAATATTTAGACATCGTGTATCGGAATTAACTATACTCGTTTTAGTCGTTTGAAATTCAATTTTTATAAAATATAGAAATATTTAAAAAAATATTCTGCACGGAAGAATATAAAATTAAAAATTTATGGTGCCTTTCAAATAAGTACAAAATTTAAAAATGACGTAGGTAGGTAGTAAAAGTAAAAAAGCTGTCAAAAATATTAATTATATTTTCKAAATAATATAGACACCTTTATAAGGCTCTAATGGATTACTTTGTAAAATTTATTTTGGATGCTATGAGTGTTTTCCATTATTAAAATAGTACCTAATGACAAATAATAATACACATATATACACATACACACTACTTACATGTATTTAAAGATTCTAGAATTCTACAAACTATTGCATATATACATACATAGAAGAATTAGAACGTTCGAAAAGGGACTTTTAAACTTATAAGAAAAACTTTCATGTTGAAATAAAACCGAAATTCTTGGAGTTTGCCAGAAAACTTTTATCTCTCTACAAATATTTTTTTAGCTCTTTTATGCGTACGTAAACAAAATAAAAGTGACGTTTACTTGTATTCTTGCTTCTGGCAATCCGATTTTCCCTGCGAGTCTCTCTCTAGCGAATACATCTGGATAATGTGTCCGTTCGAATTCTAAACATAAACACGTTAAGTTGTATAGGTTATTAAAGGGTTTGTGGAATAAATGCAGATTAGTATGCTAGTATATACTGAATGTCTGAATACCAAATTAATGTTATGTAAACGACTAGGTATATACAATGCCGTGATATTTATGTATTATATATATTACCTTTTTCCAAACTATCTATCTGATCGTTGGTGAACGACGTACGGTTTCTTTGCAGTTTTCTCTTTAGCCTGAGTCGCGCTTGGTCGTCGTCGTTGGCCGATCCGGTGGCTCCACCAATCAAAGAACCGTCGTGGTTGGAGTTATCTCCGATGGACGTGCACGTTTCGTCAGATCCCATACCTCCGTCCAAGTCTAAAACTAATAATTTCGGATATGATTTACTAAAATACATTAGCATGAGAAATTTGATTTAAATTTGCCTTAACAATAATTAAGACTCTTAGCAAAATTGCCATTGTGGATTTTACATATTTTAGAAATTATACAAGATTAATATATATACCTATAGATTAATAAACTTGACTAAACATTGATTTTAATCACTTATAATAGGCAATAGCGTAGTTAGAAGTCACTAACATATCCGAACATGGTAATTATATATTCTGAGGATTGAATGTTTGGGAGGGGGAAACTCCGCTCTCACAAGTTAGATATGCACTTTTGGTATACAGTTCAGTTATTTTACGGAACGCTATAGTTTTAAAGAGTTTATATTTTTTATTTTCCACAATTGCAATTACATAAATTAGGTATATAGCCATATAGGTTTATCGGAAATGAAATTACATTTTAACAAACAAAGGTATAATTGGGTAGTACAGGCATAAAATACGAATTTGTCTGGGTAAAAAAGTGAAATTCGTCGAACTCGATTGACGTGAAAAAGAAGCAGTTACATACGTATTTGACATCAAACGCCGTTTATATTATATTGTTAGACGCCAAAGCTACTTATATAATCGCAATCTCTAAGTAAAGAGTATATTTCATGTAAAATCATACCCACGTATTTTACATTTATACTTTTTGTTCTCTAATCCAGTGGTTTTCAACCTTTTTGGACTCGCGACCCACTAGTTTAGGCCTACATTTTTTGCGACCACGTAAGCTTAGATTAAAATATATATGTATAGGTTTCAGTATGTTTTAATGAAAACGTAATGTTTTATGAAATTGTTACATTTATTAAACGTTAGAAAATTTATTTGAACATTCAATATGTGTAGGTACTAAACAATAGTGTTACCTAGTGTTAAGAATAAGCGAGAAAGGTATCAACATTTATATGTATTTAATATATACTTATAAATTTTATTAGTCTATTGAAATAATTTAAGTGATTATTACGNNNNAATTCGTCGAACTCGATTGACGTGAAAAAGAAGCAGTTACATACGTATTTGACATCAAACGCCGTTTATATTATATTGTTAGACGCCAAAGCTACCGGTAAAACACGATTGCGTACGGTATATATATATATATAATACATTATTAAATTGTATATTACAGTGGTTACTGCTTATTGGATTCTCTGGATGGATTTTTATCAAGAAATAATTAGATACCTACCTAGCATATACCTACCAGCAATATATATTTTTTATTGAACAATATTTTTTCTATTAAATATCCATATTTCTATTATTAAAAATAAATAATAATAGCTGAAAGCTTAATAACATATTTTAAGTAAATGAGTATATATTTGTATAGTTTTCTTGGGTCTTTCATCGTATTGACTCATTCGGTTAAAAGACCCAAATAGTCTGATAGTACCTATGTATAGTTCTACATAATATAGGTATATAACAATTATGTATATTATGGATGCAATATTATATTAGTATATTATTGTTATAATTAGAATATTCTTTCTTGTTTTTCCGTGGTATCCTTTGACCAATTTGAAGGGAAACAAATATGTACTAAATATTATAATACCTATACGTTAAACATATAGAAAAAAGTGTGCATATTTTGGGTTTAGAACACTCCCTTCTCCTCAACTCCAATTAACCACTGTATATAATTAAAATTTATWCATAAGTCACAAACTATATAGTAATTACATAGTATACTACACATATTTTATGTTTATAATATATGATGTCCTAAAATGTATTAATAGTAAAATAAATTCAAAATAGCAATTATAATAATTCTACCGAATGGCGTATGCAGATAAGTACACTATCGTAAACGATATGCAATTATTATTATATATAATATACATATTCTAGGCAGCCGTTATCTAAATGTGACGCGAATTGATTTTCCCATTCACAAACGTCTTGTAATTGGTCCCATTGTAAGAGACGGCGTATATTATTTAACTCACAAGTAAAATAGTTACTAAATATGGCGTCGCGAATGTCTCTTCGACTTTCAATTCGTCATTTGTACCGTATACGCAGCGAGTGAATTTTCTTATAATTGAAATGTACGATTTATTTTAAAATTTTACCACCGAAAATAATAAAATAATTTCTGCGCAGAACATTAAGATTATGATGAATTAAGACTGGGAATCACGTAGTAGGAGAAAATTGTCCGATAAGCTACCTATGTATATATTATTTGCTATTAGATGGTAGTTGGTATATTATTATAATAAAGATAGGTTGGTAGGGAGGTATATATAGTGATTTTCTCCATATTACAGCATTATATGCCAATTTGACATTATATATAAAATATAAATATAATTATGTCATAAAGAAAAACACTTTGGTATCAATAACTCGAGTTTAGATTAATTAAATCTTTAGTCAATGTAGTTAAATGTGAACCGAGGTTTAAAGCGTAAACAGAAAGTTCTTTGAACAATTTGTACTAAAATAATAGGTAATATAAAATAATAGGTATTATAAATAATACCTACGCTCGTATAAATATTAAATATATATGATATATGAATAATCACGGATGCTTATTTTAAATATAGTTGTTGAGTTGGTTCGCTCCGATTCCGTAAGCGAGGAGTTAAAAAGTAAAAAGTGGAAATAATAATAATACTAATTATTTTAAAATAAATGAAAATATAAGTATGTATGCATTTTTTAGAAAAATAATTCGATTGTGTTATTTTTGTTTAGAGATTTTATATATACCAAACAGACATTATAACGCATTTCTGTAATGTTGGTGTGTACTGTGTGTTATTGTACTACTGTGCAGTTTATCGTAAAAATATTTTATTTTAGACGAAATCGCCTTTGAGACGATTTATTCATATCAGACACCGACATTTTTATTATTTTTATTTTTATCATGTAGTATGCAATCTGTACAATTTAGGCACATGTAAGCATATGCGAGAAAAGTAACACAAAAAATAAAGTAAAAATAAAAATAAAAAATATCAGGCGAGAAAGACGTGATTAAAGAAGCCACCCATTAGTGACACTTTATAGAGACACCGAAATATTGTTAAAAAACTTTTATGTAGGACGGCTTCTCTGAAGCTGCAGTGTCGTTATACACAGAGGTAACACGTATATTATGAAAAACGGAAATACTAAACATAGATATCGGGAATCGACTACTTATTTGATAATATATTATTATGTTATATATATCTTATAATGGGAGGTGCGTATTATTCACACCGCATTATTATTTTGGCAATGCAAACACGCACATTGTATATTGTTGTACGTCGTATGATATTTGTATATTATATTGTTTGCGTCGTGACTCGTATTAACTAAAACAATTATTTCAAAGGTCCGAGTTTATGATGTGAAAGACTGCCTATAATATATTATATATATATATACTGCAACTCTCGCGTCCTCAGACCTCTCTCTCGGTATAATAATAATAATACATATATACAATCGTTGCAGTCGCGGTCCATCCCTAAATCGGAGAGATGATTATTACAGCATCCCTTCTTTCTCTCTCTCTCTCTCCCTGTAGTCTATATATATATACTCACGCTCAAAGACACGCACACTAAAATACGTCGCTGCTCGTTACGCTTATGTGTGTGTGTGTGTGTGTGTGTGTGCGCGCGCGCAGGGGCCGACTTTTAGGGGGTTCAAATTGTTCATTGGACCGCGCGGATCGGCGGGTCGGGTTTGGGGGACGTACATCCCGCGACACAAGGGGTTCTACCGTGTATATATATACATACATACATTTTTTTTCGTCTCCCTATATATATGGTATACGATATAAACCTCACCCGCCATCCTTTTCCGCGCCGATCGCGTCCGTCGTGGAAAAAAGGGCTTTTTTAAAATTTATATATTATACMCACGCGATATTGTATACGTATAATAATATACGCATAGCGCGCYCGATCCACACGGAACTCGCGTATATTATAATGTATAACAGCCGGCGTGACAAAAATCGGTCCGGAGGTGTGTGTGTGTTTTCGGTACTAGCAAGGGGAGTGCAGTTTGGTCTATGCGTGTACGTGTCTTTGTACGATTTTCACCACGTACAGTATAACGCACATATGTAATAATAATATATACATGACTATAAATATACGTTATATATATTGATGTTATTATATATTAGGCCGGATCGTATACTGCACATAATATATACTGTCACCGTCATAAACGCGGTTTACACGTTGCGAAAAAAAAATATAAATAAAAACCTCTCGCTAATATAATAACGTACGCGCGCACCACACTGATATATTATTATTGTAAAACCCTTTTTCTCGCAGGACCGTTTAAAAGTAGGTACGTACCACTCTTTTCCTCCCACCGGAACACACAGAGACCCGAACGCTCGGAGTGGTGCAGCACACGTCCGACGTTTTTCGCGGTATACGCAAGAAAAGCTCGTCAATAACATTATATTTTAATCATTTTTATTAGATTTTTTTCACCTTTGTCTTACTTTAGTAGCTATCCATAAAATAGGTATAACATATACCTATATTATGTAATTATTCTTTAATACACATATATTCCATATGAAAACACAATCTAATTAGTAATTATAAAAACTACTGCGAAAACGGTTAGTTTATAACACTACAATATTATTATAGACATACTAAAATAATATGTGTAATCAGATATACGCCAATTGCTATACGAAAAAATTGTTAAGATGCTGCTGATCGATTTTTTACAAGCAAACGGTTGATGACTGTTGTGGCCTATAACTGCAATTATTTTGTGAAACATATAATAACTGTTTATGTCAGGGATAAGTATTTTACATTTTTACCCATATGTACCTATAATAGAGTATATTGGTTATATGGGTACACGCTATACATATAAAGATATAATGTATTACACAGAACGACATTAAGTTTCGGCCGAATTTATCGCATACAAGGACCCGTTTGTATTATGTCGTATAATACATTACAA